TCCTGTCATCTCATCAGCACTTTTGTATTGAATTTCATTTGTTGATAATTTGGGTCCAACCTTGTCTCATTTTTTGATGCTGTGTGCTTCTGAGGAAGTTGGGTCTGTCAGATTCTTCTCTTTCCAGTGAACTTTTGGTCTGCCTGTTTATGTCACAGTAAGTTAATGCAGGAGGTGCCTTGAAGACTGGAAGCTGAAGACAATAATGCGTTCCTTTTTATTTGTTAACAGCCTAACATCTTTAGCTATAAACCTGCTGCCATTTGAATGCACAGTACCTCCTGTGTTATACAGACACAGCTATAAGAATAACTTTGGGACTTGGTTTACAAAAAAAAAAAGAAAAAAAAAATGCCCTTGAAGCCCAATATGACCCTTACTGGAAATGTAAACTACCTGAAGTAGTAGGTGTCCTTGACCGTAGATAAACAGTTCCGCTAAGAACGTGCTAAAAATGACAATAACTGATAGAAATCACAGTTCCTTTCTTGCTGGAGACAGTGGGGCCATTCGTAAACATCACGGCGTTCTCGCGGAAGGTGGCGTTTTCAGCCCCCTGTTCCCAGCTCTCAGTGCCAGGTCACTTTGCGCGTAGCCAGACAACGTCTTATCGAATAGAGTGAAGTACAAGATGAAGATTAACTTCAGTGTTAAATCTGAGCCTAGTATGCTTTGTAAAAAGCTGTGTGGACCCCCTGTCACAGCTCTTACGGTTCTGTAAGCTATTGTGCCATGGAGGTCGCTTACCCTACCAAGTATACCCCTGTAAAACTCTTTATGAACTACTGTGTGTAAGCAGTACTTGTAATCAATGCAAGTAGCACAGGCCTAGGAGGCTGCAAGTGCAGTTTTTTACAGTTGTCTTTAATTTGAAGTAAGTTATTTATCTGAATTTATACTGTAGTTACCAGGATTTCTGCTCAGTGGCATAATCCACTATCTGTCACTAGCCTGTTTTTTAATGTACACATGAACATGTATATAGGCCTTTATGTGTCGATACCATAAATTAAATTCTAAGCTTATAGAGATGATGTAGGTGGCTTCGTAAGTAAAACTTGTGTGTTTGGTCTCGGTAATATGAATTTCTGCGGTGTTACAGTTGAACTGCTCGGAGGCCTTAGATTCAGGCTGGCGTTGGTGGGTGATAACATCCCGTTCCTTAACATTTCTGCAGCCTTAGGAATCCTTAAGCAAAGAAAAAACCCACCAACCAAAACCCAAGTAAGTATCCAAAAATCTGGTTGCCCTTTTGTCCTGCTCTGCCACACGTAGTCTCCAAACAGATTGGCCTGGGGGCACCTCCAGCGTGTGCCTGTTGTGTAGCGAGTCAGAGAACGTTGCCGTTGATTTCCTGTTGGTGTAAAACAAGCGTGTCTGCAGCTTCAGGTCTTATCCATGAGGAAACAGTGACAACCAGGTCTCCAGTGTGGTTCTAAAATAAGATAAACCCTCTGTCAGAATCTCTTTGGCTGCTCTTGAGACGACTGCTCTGGGCTGTAGATCTTATTGCTCTGTGTGTGTGTGTGAGTGTGAGTTTGATTTTAATTTGGTGTTTAGCTGGTATTTTTTGTTTTCTTTTTTTCTCTCTAGAGTGCTTCAGAAATCAGGCTCTGGTATATACGAGGATTTGTCGATATTTTTTTTTGCATATGCCTTTCCTGACTTGAACTGGGGCATAATGTAAATAGTACTGTAGTGAATATGATGCTAGAGAGTTACTTTTTTGGATGTGATTAGTATAAATTCGAGACTTATTAAACTGACTGTTGATGTGTTGTACTGAGTCTTGGAAGAGAAAGTAAAACTGCTTGATTTCACTAAGATTTACAAGCATCTTTTCTGTTGTTTGAGATTAATGCTGACAGAGAGAAATCTTTATTCAAGTCAAAGTTCTGCAAGCGATTACAGGGAGCTGTAATTAAAAGGTTTTTTAAAATACGTTTACATTTAAAGTATTGTGAGATTTATTATCCGGGACATCATTCAGGTATGGTCAGAGCTTGTAGCCTTATGTATTAGCACTATAGTTAAAAAGAACTGAAAAGTATCCACTTATCCATGCAGGTGATTGTGTGACCAAAATTGGCCTCGTGCCTCAACGGGGCTGGTGAACTGTGGTGTGCGAGGCGAGTTAGTTCTATTAAAATATTTCTATTACAACTTTAAGACAGTTCTTTAAATACATTCTGTGAGACTGAAGAAATGAATTTAAGGAACAAATCTAAGGAGGGTGAACCAGCCTAGGTCTTGCTCTTCAGGCTTTTGGAGAGATGTTTGTCCTGGCATCAGTGACCCAAGAATAGAGCAGAAGATGGGACCATAATGTGCGAATGTGGCTTCCAAAAGTGAGTAGGGCGGTTACTTAAATTGAGCAGCGACAGTTCCTGCTGCCAAGCACACAAGTTTCAGGCAAGACTTTTTAAAACTCTCTTCCAAAACAAATATTGCGGCCTTGCCTGGTCCTGCTCCTGCTGTGGGATGCTGCTGTCAGAGAGCCGAGTAGGTTACGGCCGCGTTAGTGAAGATTTTTACGCTGAAATACAGCAGGTGGGGAAGGCACTCTGTGGTTTCCAAGGTGGACAAGAAATTCAGAACTAGCCTGTGCAACTACTGACAGCGTTTTGTGTTAAAATCAGCTATCTATATTGTGACACTGTCCAAGTTAAAATACGCCTTTGGCTTTCAAAATGACATGCTTACGCAAAAATTCTTTACAGATAACGTGCTACGAGTGTGCTACATGTAGGATATGGGTCACTATACACTTTTCACAGAAGCATATGGTCACTTAGACACAAGCAACTGATAATTCATTAATGGATATTGACAATACATTCTTAGTATTTTGACTCATATAGAGTCAGGTGGTCTATACCTTCCAGGTATATACAGCTGATCTTAGTCACATTAACATCTGCCTCACTTCTTAGGAGGCGAAAAGCACGTAAACGCTTCCATCTTCAACTAGATACCACACGAGACCAAAAAATAGGTGCAAATTAAATGTTTTAAATTAGCCGTTTCTTGGCTTTGTTCTGTGTTATTAGCACAATATTAAATACAGTGGCAGAACCCTAATATGGGATTTCTAAGCGTAAAGCACATATAGTTATCACTTTAGGCTAAAAAATAGTAGTGTTAGTTACTGTACAGGTAACAGTTTTTGTGTTCATAGGAAGCTTTGTTTACTGTCTGTATCGCGACGTTTATCTCTGGTCCTGCCCCTCTGATGCCTTTTACCCCGTTGACTGTTTTGGTGTCATGGAAATTAAAGGATTTGACAAGTTGTTTTCCTTGCCTGGTTCCAAGATGCCACCTCGGGCAGTGCAGCTGTTGCTGTGCTGGGCTCTGCGTGGGCAGGAGTTGGGCAGCCGCGCGCGCGGTGGGATGTGCGCGGGAGTGGGTGCCGAGGAATGACGTGTTCTGTGGCGTGTCGCTGGGGGCGATGGATGCAAAAGGGCTGCAGCCCCCTGCTGTCCCACTGAGTCCCTCTCGCTTCCCCCGATGTCTCTGCAGCAGCTGACGCTGCTTCAGGCGGTTACCTGTGCGGGAAAGACACAACGGCACTTTTCTTTAAGAATATACAATCTAAATGAGAAAGAAATATGGCAGAAAGAAGAACCAGTTGGCTTTATGTGTGTGACTTTTCTTGAATTCTGGCACAATGTTCCGGATTATTTTGTTTCTTTTCCTCCTTTTCCAGAAGCGGCTCAGGAAGTGTATGTATGGCAGCCGAGCCCTGTGACTGGTGGACTGATGTCTGCGATTTTGAAAACCATACAAATAACCCCTTTCAAAAGAAATGTGTTTAGTTTTGCTTCAGATTTAAAGTGGTGATGTAAACTGTGAACCCTTAAATGCTTGAAGGACATAAGATCCCTACCTCCTAGTGTTAGTGTCTTTGTTGTTATTTCAGTACTGATTTGAGGCTTTGTTCCATACACTGATTTCCCTCCATGCCTGCATGTTTCAGGAACTGAAATCTTGAGCTCCTGAATATTAAATTTACTATTCGTAAACTGGCAAGTTATTTCAGTCTCATTAATAGTGGAGTTTCCAGATGATAGAATCATAGAATGGTTTGGGTTGGAAAGGACCTTAAAGATCATCTAGTTCCAACCCCCCGGCCATGGGCAGGGACCCGTCCAACCTGGCCTCAAACACTTCCAGGGATGAGACATCCACAGCTTCTCTGGGCAACCTGTGCCAGCACCTTGCCACCCTCACAGAACATATCTCTGTGTGTCCTGGAACTCTGTAGCTTTTCACTTTCAGCTCTGTTTTGTTGAGACTGAGAAGCCACTCGGGATTTCCTGATGGCGCGTTTCTGCGGTGGAATGGCTTCTTGCTGTCTCAAGGACGCTGCGCGGTTCTGAATAGAACTGTGTGCCCGCAGACCACACCCAGAGAGGATCACCTGCAATTTTCATTTTAAGAATTAAAGCTGGACAATATTGGTCAGAAACATAGGAAGAAGAAGGTATCTTGTGGGTAATTAACACTAAATGTGACTTTCAGAATCCCTGATAACTGGCGAGCGGTGAGGGTGGGGGAGTGACACGGAGCTTGCCTGTGCAGACAGTCAGTTTTCCATTCTTGTCAATCTTTAAAATTTTATAGTATTAAAATATTTTTAAAATCCTTAAGTTCATGAAATTCAGGGGCTGATTTTTTTTTCAAAAATCTGGCTTTAATTCTTGAAATGGAACAGATACTCTTACTGATGTAGACAAAATGCGAGAGAACAAGAAGAATCTGCAGATCTGATGTGTGATCTGTAAGAGTACCTACCAAAAGGAAGCTTAAATAGGAGGTTATTCTTGAAATGTTTCACAACTGAAGCACCTAGAACTCTTCTTTCCAAGGGAAAGAAGGAGCACGCATATCATTAGTATGTGAAAGTTAATTGTGTGTTCACTAAATGTCACAGTAACTCGCTAACATTGAAAACTTCTTAAATTCTT